TATACATACGATTCATTTTGATATTATTATTCATGTCGTCATTGTCAGCTATTACTATCGGAATGTCGTTCAAGTCTAATGTTGCTGTAGGAGTACCATTCGAAATGGTAGGACAATTAAGCATTGGTGACTTCGTTGTACCATTCGAATTGGTAGTACAATTAGGCATTGGTGACTTTGTTGTACTATTCGAATTGGTAGGACAATTAGGCATTGGTGACTTAGTTGTACCTTTAAAATAAAAACATTTTATTTCAAATTGTTGTGAAGATTCCCGAAAAGAAAATTATATAGGAAGGAAAGAGTGCCAATGTGAGCCACAAAATGAACAGAACTCGGTTCTCACAATATAAAATCGTCAGTTTCTATTTAAACGTTTCGATCCTTCTTCGAGTCTCCCTCGTAAGGGTCGAAACGTTTAAATAGAAACTGATGATTTTATATTGTGAGAACCGAGTTCTGTTCATTTTGTGGCTCACATTGGCACTTTCTCCTTCCTATATAAAAAACATTTTAGAACAATGAAAGTATGAACATCAATGTTATCGTAATAAAATGTGACAAATACAGTTACCGTGCGATGTGCCATTTTTAAATTTTTTTTCCCCGCCAATTTTTTGGAAGCTTCAGCGCGTTCCTCTTCCTCTTCGTATTCGGAATCAGACATTTGACGTGGCATTGTTTTTCGCAAACCTCTGCCTAAAGCATCATCATCTGTCGTTATATAGTTGGGATCGGATGCTGCTTTTCGCGCAGTTGTGAGTGAAGCTGCCAATATAGTAATTATATTAATATATAAATATTATAAATATACCTATAAAATATTTTTCATAACACTTACAGCAGTATTTTAGTATTTCGATCTCATACATCGTCCATGTCTTCTCTGGTTGTACACGATTTTCAATAAATGGACTGACATTTTTCGTCACAGGCCACCAGCAAAGGATTTCTTCCTCAGCTGAAGCGCTATTATTTTCCACAATCCAATTGGTCGGCACCTCAGAAAAACTATCCTCTTCGCAAAGGAAGCGAACTACTGCGTACGGAAAAGAACGGCTACTCGTGCTAGGTATCACTGGCATCGTGGTAGGTTTCATTGTGCGCTCACACTGTGCCTTTGATTTTTGCATTGTTTACTTGAAAATATATTTAAATGTTGAAGGAAATGTATAATATATTTGTGATGTCAATTTTAAAAAATTTATGGAAAAATACAACATATTTACTATATTTTATTATA